CCTGGGGGTGCTGGTCCTGGGGGTGCGGAGACTGGAGGTGTTGAGCCTGGGCGTGAGGAGTCTGGGGGTGCTGAGCCTGGGGGTGCTGAGTCTGGGGGTGCTGCACCTGGGGATGTTGCGGCGTCTGGTGAGCAGTCTCCCTGGAGCGGCCGTCTCCGTAGTCGCTCTGCTGGTGCCTCGCCGCTGCACTCTCGTCGTCGCCTCCCTCTCTCCCCACAGCAGTTGCGTGAGTGGTACGTTGGCCGTCAGGGTCGAGCTGCTGGAGCTGGGGGCCCTGCTGCGGGAGGCGCTGGTGTTGGAGGCACTGGAGCCGGCACTGTCCCTCTCTCCCCACAGCAGCTGCGTGAGTGGTACGTTAGCCGTCAGGGTCGCGCTGCTAGAGCTAGGGGCTCTGCTACGGGAGGCGCTGGAGTTGGTGACTCTGCCCTGGAGTTGTTTCTACTGGAGTTCCTGGGGCAGCTGGTCCCGGAGGTGCTCGTACTGGATGTACTAGAGCTGCTGGGGCTGGAGGTCCTGCTGGACCTGGAGGTGCTGCTGTTGACTCTGAGGTTGGAGGCCCTGGAGCTGGGGGTGCCGATTTTGGGGGTGCTACTGCTGGTGGCACTGGAGCTGGAGGTTCTGGAGCTGCTGCGGGTGCTGGCGCTGGAGGTTCTGGCGCTGTTGGAGGTGCTGGCGCTGGTGGAGCTGGAGCTGGAGGTTTTGGAGCTGCTGCGGGTGCTGGCACTGGAGGTTCTAGAGCTATTGGAGGTGCTGGCGCTGGTGGCGCTGGAGCTGGAGGTTCTGGAGCTGCTGCAGGTGCTGGCGCTGGAGGTTCTGGAGCTGTTGGAGGTGCTGGCGCTGGTGGCGCCGGAGCTGGAGGTTCTGGAGCTGCTGCGGGTGCTGGCGCTGGAGGTTCTGGAGCTGTTGGAGGTGCTGGCGCTGGTGGCGCCGGAGCTGGAGGTTCTGGAGCTGCTGCGGGTGCTGGCGCTGGAGGTTCTGGAGCTGCAGGAGGTGCTGGAGCTACTGGTGCTGGTGGCGCTGCGCCGTCGCGACTGTTCTTCGCTCCGCCGTCACCTTCGTCTCTGCCACTGCCTGGCTCCGTGATTCGCCAGGTTCTTAGCCTCCCGTCTTCTACTCGTCTTCCGTTACAACCTGGCTCACCGCTGCCTGCTCCTTCTCTTTACACTGAGCTGACAGACGGTCTTGCTGAGCGTCGTGAGCCTGCGTCTCGTCCAGTCTCGCCTATTTGCACAGTCCGCACTGGTCGTACTGGTCGTCGTGTTTCTCGTGAGCATCCGCCGGCTGTCCCCGGCACACACCTCATGGCCCTGCGTCCTTCCTCTGCTCCGCAGCGTGTTCCCCTGCCGTCCCCGCCTGCGTCTTCTCTGCCTGACGTTCCAGAGCCTGAGTCTGACCGCGCTCGTGCTGCTCACCATACTGTCACACGTCTGCTAGCCACAGTTGTCACTGACCCGTCGTTTGAGTCTGCTGCAACGTCTGCTTTAGTCACTGAACTTGTTGACTTTGCTGTTGCCTGTCGTCTAGACTACGCCGCTAGTCTTGTTGCTGAGTCTGAGTCTGTCTGTCCTCCGTCCGTCGGGGGTGAGTGTGCTCTTGGCACGGACGTCCTTGAGGACAGGCAGAAGGACCTTGAGTGTCTTTCAGCCGCTGCGCCTCATCTCGTGTCCATGCTGCTTGCCCCTGAGGGAGACCCGGATGCTCCAGACATCCCGACCCCGTGCTCTTACGCTGAGGCGATCGCGGGTGAGTACTCCTCTCAGTGGCAGACAGCCATGGATGCAGAGATGGCATCCTGGAAGTCCACAGGCACTTACGTTGACGAGGTTCCCCCTCCTGGGGCGAACATCGTCGATGGCATGTGAATTTTCAGGGTGAAGCGGCCGCCAGGTTCTCCGCCTGTCTTCAAGGCTCGTTACGTTGCTCGAGGTTTTAGTCAGCGACAGGGAGTTGACTTCTTCCAGACCTTCTCTCCCACCCCGAAGATGACCACTCTTCGGGTGCTGCTGCACGTCGCCTCTCAGCGTGACTACGAGCTTCACTCTCTTGACTTCAGCACAGCCTTCCTACAGGGCAGCCTGCACGAGGAGATCTGGCTGCGCCGCCCACCTGGCTTCACTGGGTCGTTTCCTGCAGGTACCCTGTGGAGCCTCCGGCGGCCAGTCTACGGTCTCCGCCAGGCGCCGCGTGAGTGGCACGACACACTGAGGACGACGCTTGCGGCTCTTGGGTTTGCTCCGACGACTGCTGACCCGTCGCTGTTTCTGCGCACCGACACTTCCCTGCCGCCATTCTACATCCTCGTGTACGTCGACGACTTGGTCTTTGCCACTGCTGACACTGAGGCTCTCGCCTTGGTGAAGTCGGAGCTGCAGAAGAGACACACGTGCACAGACCTGGGTGAGCTGCGCAGTTACCTTGGCTTGCAGATCACCCGGGACAGAGCACGCCGCACCATCACACTGACTCAGTCACACATGGTGCAGCAGGTTCTTCAGCGCTTCGGCTTCACCTGGTCCTCGCCATAGCACAATCCTCTGGCTACAGGTTACTCGATCTCAGCTCCACCTTCGTACGAGTCCGTAGAGCCAAGTGGTCCTTACCCAGAGCTAGTGGGCTGCCTCATGTACCTGATGACCTGCACTCGTCCTGACCTTGCGTACCCTCTTGGCCTTCTGGCTCGCTACGTGGCTCCTGGTAGGCACCGAAAGGTGCACATGGATGCTGCTAAGAGGGTACTGCGCTACTTGTGCAGTACATCGGGCATGGGGCTCGTGCTTGGAGGACGGGGTGACGTTGTCCTCACTGGGCACTCGGACGCTTCTTAGGTTGACGACCTGGCTACGTAGCGGTCGTCACAGGGTTACACCTTCAGCCTTGGCTCTGGCTCTATTTCTTGGCGGTCTACACGCTCGTCCTCTGTTCTCGGCTCCAATTGTGAGGCTGAGATCTACGCCACAGACATGGCTGCACAGGAGCTCCGCTGGCTCACCTACCTGCTGACCGACCCGGGAGAGCAGCCTCGTTCTCCTCCAGTGCTGTACGTAAACAAAAAGGCCGCCATTGCATTGTGTCAGGAGCACAGACTGGAGCACAGAACGAAACACATCGCTCTGCGTTACTTCCTTGCTCGAGAGTTGCAGCAGCGTGGTCAGCTTCGTCTTGCTCACGTGGCCACTCGGGCCAACACTGCTGATATATTCACCGAGGCACTTCCGTCTGGTGATCATCAGCGTTTTTGTACTTTGTTAGGCCTTGTGCCCACGTTTCCTCACTTGCTGTAGACTTTGCTTGTACCGTTATCTATATATACCTGCATGCTTGCTCTGCTAGGTAGAGATCACTATGCTGCCGTTGTTGCATATATACCTCTGCATGTGAACTGGCCTTGTGGCCCTTTGCTTGTGCTCAGTGTGTGTGGTGACGTTGTGATCCACCTTGAGCTTGCTTTGCTTCTCTGACTGGTCTTGTGACCCCTTGTTCTCCCCCACTTTGCCTATGGGGGTGTGTCAATGTATATGCATGTTATATATGTATAGGCTGTAGTGGGGTAGCCAATATGGGGTGCAGCCCCTTTTAGGGTTTCAATCTCGTACCCAACTCTTCCATAGTTGATTCATTCCTGTCTCTAGATTCTAACACTCCTAGTCCTAGCTATGCCTACTATTTCAACAGCTTTAACCAGTTCTGCTGCTGAATTGGGTTATGAGAGCCTCCTAGGGATTCCCTGCACTTCATGTTTGCCTGGCCCGCCGGATGAATGGATGAGACTGCTGTATCATATGCTGAATGGCCTGCTTTAACTAGTTCTGCTACTGAATTGGGTTATGAGAGCCGCCTAGAGATTCCCTGCACTTCATGTTTGCCTGGCCCACTGGATGAATGGGTGAGACTGCTGTATCATAGCTGAAATACCTGCTTTAACCAATTCTGCTGCTGAATTGGGTTATGAGAGCCGCCTAGGGATTGCCTGCACTACTGCTTGCCTGGGCCACCGGATGAATGGGTGTATCATATGCTGAAGGACCTGCTTTGACCTGGTCATGTGCTTGATTGGTTCATACGCAACCAGTAACAGAGAAAGAGGCCGACAAAGATAAGGGTGACACGAGGTTCAGGGTGGGGAAGAGACCAAGCAGGGAAAGAGGATGGTTTCTACCCAAGGGAAAGTGAGGGGCAGGGAAATGAGAAAGCAAAGAACGATACATCGAGGAGCAGCTGCGTGGAGAGCAGGACGAGGGAACTAAGCTAGAGGAGGAACTAAGTACGTAGCAGGTGTAGGAGAAGGGTCACTTATCAGCAGCTGAATCTTTCGATGCAATATTTTCATTGGTTCAACTGATACTGGAGATTCGAATCAATTTATTGAATCCATTGAAGGTAGAGAATCTATTGAATGTACCGCAACAGGATATATTTGAAGGCATCAGCAATAATGCACCTTACCTCAAATATGGTAAGTCACAGATTTGTCTGTACTAGTTATATCAAGGTTATGACTACTTGTAGAGCTCTTGGAGGGCTGTAGCCAAATCCGCATACACCCTAGGGAACCACGAACCTCGGAACTCGCTCCTCGTCACTTCCTGACATCCAATGTGAGCGTTTCCTCCCGTACCACGTCAGCGTCATCCAGACAAGCTTCGGTCGCCACATAGTCAAACCCAGAACACCGATACCCAAAATGGTGACACGTGAGTGCCTGTCGCAGACCAGCAAATCCTCAAGAACGACGAAGTATTTCGTCCCTGGTTTTCACGCTTCGCGCAAACTTTAGGGTGTTCGTTCATAGTTCGCTTTAGTTTCGCTGTGGAAGTTCGTCAAACTCTGGGAATTCACTTCCCTGTCCCTCCCAGATTCATCTTTCCAGCTTCTTGGTACTCCCCATACCCTCCCCTCTCCCTAGGGTTTCCAAGTTCCTACATCCTACCATATCCTCCTTGGTCCTCAGTGTAGATTTCCCCGTAGTTTGAGGTAGGTAGTGGCTGTGATCTCGGCCAGCCATGGCGTCGCTTCTAGCGCCTCCGAAAGCGCAGATGAGCAGCATTTCTCTCGCTGCGTCGACGTCTCAGAATGTGAGCTTCTAGATGCTTCCGTAGCTTCTGTCACGATACGCCATCACATCCTTGTTCATTTCCCAACCCGTTAGCCTTCCGAATTTCCTTTATGAATTTGATGTTTTTGGTTCTCGTATACATATTCACCCATTTACTAGCTTCTCAACCGCTTCCTCTCTCTGCATCCCTTTCCCTCGGCCTGTCATTAGTTATCGCTCTCACAGCTTCCTCTCACTGCCTTCCGTCTCCTCCAGGCCCTCTCGTCGACCGCCTCCGTCTCTTTCCGCGGGGCAGCCATCTCCGCTCCGCGCCGAATCTCCGCCGCGGGGACGGTCTCCTCCGCCGTTGCGGTGCCCGCGCAGGCTTCCGCCGCTTCCGCCGCCGACGCCGCCGACGGCGCCGCTCAAGGTGAGGTGAGCGGCTGTGCAAACATTTGATCCATTGAAATTTCTTGCATTGCTGTCCGTTGAACGAAAGCCGATGAGGAGAGCGGCTATACTTGCACCTGATCCGTTGAATTCTTGCGTTCCTTGTTTTCCCTACTTCCTCCCTTCTTCCGGCCATTCCCTTCCCCTTCCCCCTCGACCTCCCCACCACGAACCTCCGTCCAACGTCCTCTCCCTTGCAATGCCCGCAGGGGACGCCAGGGGAGGTGCAAGAGGGAGTGCAGCGGGCACTGGCGGCAGTGAAGAACTCACCAGCAGGCACGCCACTGTCGCTGCTGCAGCGGCAGCTGGCATCCGTGCTCACGCCGTTCGCGGATAGGCTGGATTCGCGCGCTCTGAGCAGCATTATGAAACAGGTGAGTGAGAGAGAGGGATGTGTGTTTATGCTGCTCACCTGCTTGGCTGGGTTGGGATTGCCAGCAGGCGCGCCGCTGTCGCTGTTGCAGCGGCAGCTGGCATCCATGCTCGCGATCTCAGCAGCATCATGAAGCAGGTGAGTGAGTGAGTGAGATGTGAAGGTCACTTGTCCGGGATTGCCTTCGGAAGGGATTCGCCAGCAGGCACGCCGCTGTCGCTGCTGCAGCGGCAGCTGGCATCCGTTCTCACGCGGTTCGCCGGTAGGCTGGATTCGCGCGCTCTCAGCAGCATTATGAAGCAGGTGAGTGAATGAGTGAGTGAGTGAGGGAGTGAGTGAGTGACTGAGTGAGAGTGATGTGAGGGTGAGTTGTGTCAGGCTGGATTCGGACTGGATCACATACTTCAAGGGTAGCTCCCGTCGGTGCTCACGCCGTTCGCGGATAGGCTGTATTCGCGCACTCTGAGCAGCGTCATGAAGCAAGTGAGTGAGAGAGAGTGAGTGCGTGATTGAGAAAGTGAGCGAGCGAGTGAGTGGGGTGTGATGCGAGGGTCACTCCACTTATCGTACTAGACTCGTGCGCTCAGAGAAGCAGCGTTGTGAAGCAGTCGGGAGTCTCTATAGGACACATGCTTTTGAGTCGTGCCAACTAGCGCCGTCCAATGAGAAACAGGTGAGCTAACTTTGAGTCGACTCAAAAGTCAGCTCGCTACAATGTCACTCAGAGAGGCAGCATCACGACGAAGCAGTCCGGAGTCTAAATAGGATAGGACAACTAGCGCCGTCTGAAAAACAGGTGAGCGACTTTTAAGTCGCCTCATAAGTTTTTGAGGCGCCTTAAAGTCGGAACGGCCTGCTGCATGCATGCTGCCCGACCACCCGCCCCTGTCAACCGAACCCTCCCTGCATGCATGGTCGGGTGGTGAAGCAAAGCCGCCGTTTCTCTGTCTGCCTCCCCCTTGCTCTGACCCCCCCGACGTCCTCCCCTTCCCCAATCTGCCAGCAAGAGGCGGACTGGCGTGTCGTGCTGGCGCTCTACGATTGGATGGCGGGGCAGGGCATTCCGCGCAGCATCCACGTGTACACGGTGGTGCTCTCGTGCCTGGGGCGGACGGCGCAGTGGAAGCACCTGCAATCCGTCTTGGACGATATGGCGAGACTAGGTGGGTAGGAGGGAGAGAGACAGTGAGGGTGGTGCTGGCGTGCCTGGGGCGGGCGGCGCAGTGGAAGCACCTGCAATCGGTTCTTGATGACATGGCACGGCTAGGTAGGTAGGGAGAGAGGGCAGAGAGGTGGTGCTCTCGTGCCTGGCGCGGACGGCGCAGTGGAAGCACCTGCAATCCGTGCTGGACGATATGGCGAGCGTAGGTGAGAGAGAGAACTGTATAGCCTGAGAGAAGCAGTGCGTGAAATGGGAAGCCCGTGCTCTCGTGCTCTCATGGGACGGACGGCCGTGCCTGGCCGGACGGCGCAGTGGAAGCACCTGCAATCCGTGCTGGACGATATGGCGAGACTAGGTGGGAGATCTTTGTAGCCTGAGAGGAAAGGGGGTGGTGCTCTCATGCCTGGGCCGGGCGGCGCAGTGGAAGCACCTGCAATCCGTGCTGGACGATATGGCGAGACTAGGTGGGAGATCTTTGTAGCCTGAGAGGAAAGGGGGTGGTGCTCTCATGCCTGGGCCGGGCGGCGCAGTGGAAGCACCTGCAATCCGTGCTGGACGATATGGCGAGACTAGGTGGGCAGGCAGGTGAGGAGCGCTTAGCAGTGGGAGAGATCCCATTCTCGCCTCCAATCCACTCTGCAGCATCCCGTGTACTGTACTAGTGGTGTTTTGAGACGTCTCAAATCATCACTCCGTGCTAGGTGGGTAGGGAGACTGGGCAGGCAGGTGAGGCGCGCTTAGCAGTGGGAGAGATCCCATTCTCGCCTTCAATCTACTCTGCTGCATCCACGTGTACTCTGCTAGTGGGACAGGGGGCGCAGCGAAACCACTCTGTGCTGGATGATATGACATATTACACGGCGTGGCGTGGCGTGAAGTGATGTGGCGTGACGCGGCTTGACGTGGTGGCGTGAAGTGGCTTGGCGTGACACGACATGAGCCCTCTTTCTGCTTTCCCACCCCCTGCGTCTCCCTCCTCCCCCTCCCTCCACCTTCCTTCCATAAGTGTACCCATGGACGAGTACGTGTACAACACGCCCATAGTCGCCTACTCCAATGCCGATCGTAACCTCTTTCCCTGTTGTGAATTGTGTTTTCTCCCCTCTCCCATCCCCCACAGGAATGCCCATGGACGAGTATGTGTACAACACGCTCGTAGTTGCCTACTCCAATGTTGCTGCCTGGCTTACATAGCGCCCTCCATTGCTGTTTCCCGTTTCTTTTCCCCCACAGGAGTGCCCATGGACGAGTACGTGTACAACCCGGTCATACTCGCCTACTCCAATGCTGGTTGTTCCATACAGAAGCATGCTGTTTCGCCCTCTCTCTGTCCCCCTTCCCCACCACAGGAGTGCCCATGGACGAGTACGTGTACAACACGCTCATAGTCGCCTACTCCAATGCTGGTCGCTTCAACGAAGCTCTAGGGTGGTTTGAGCGCATGGAGAAGGCGGGTTGCATGCCCAACCAGGTGAGAACATCAGAAGAGATCAGGATCTCCTGTATCTTCTTGTCTTGACCCTCATCCCCTCTCCCCTCCCCCGTGGTTCGAGCGCATGCCGAATCAGGCGAGGACGAGTGATGAGATGTGGAAGCAGTTTCAGAGAAGGTGTTTGTTGAGACGACTTTTGAGTCGAGGTGACTTTTGAGTCGAGGTGTTCCTTCTTCGTGTGCCCCTCCTATCCTCATTGTCATCTCCCTTCCCGTCCCTTTCCCGTGCACGCCCCCTTGCGCCCATGCACGCCCCCTTGCGCCCATGCGTGCCCCCTTGCACCCATGCACGCCCCCTTGCACCCATGCACGCCCCCTTGCACCCATGCACGCCCCCTTGCGCCCATGCGTGCCCCCTTGCACCCATGCATGCCCCCTTGCGCCCATGCACGCCCCCTTGCGCCCATGCATGCCCCCTTGCGCCCATGCATGCCCCCTTGCGCCCATGCATGCCCCCTTGCGCCTGTTCCCCGTGATGAAGCTCTTTGCATGGGCGGGAAGGTCGGGTCGCGTGGCGCGCATTGCTGAGACCAACAGCCCCCCCGCTCCCCCCCGCTCCCCCCCGCTCCCCCCCGCTCCCCCCCGCTCCCCCCCACTCCCCCCCGCTCCCCCCCGCTCCACCCCGCTCCCCCCCGCTCCCCCCCGCTCCCCCCCGCTCCCCTCCGCTCCCCCCCACTCCCCCCCGCTCCCCCCCGCGCTTTACACGGGAGGTGCTCCCCATTGCTCTCCCTCCCCCTCCTTCCTTCCCCTCACCCCCTCTCTCCTCCCCATCCGTCTCACAGGTAATCTACACGTCAGTGATGAACTGTTTGCACGGGTGTGCAGGAGGGATGGTGTGTTTTGAGTCGACTCAAAAGTCACCTATTCGACTCAAAAGTCACCTAGTCGACTCAAAAGTCACCTAGTCGACTCAAAATTCACCTAGTCGACTCAAAAGTCACCTAGTCGACTCAAAAGTCACCTAGTCGACTCAAAAGTCACCTAGTCGACTCAAAAGTCACCTAGTCGACTCAAAAGTCAAGTCGACTCAAAAATCTACATGTCAGTGAAGAGCTGTTTGCACGGGCGTGCAGGAGGGATGGTGTGGCATTTTGAGTCTGCTTTTGAGTCGACTCAAAAGCAGACTCATTACACGCGGTTTTGAGTCGACTTAAAAGCAGACTCATTACACGCGGTTTTCAGTCGACTCAAAAGCAGGTAATCTACAAGTCAGTGATGAACTGTTTGCACGGGCGTGCAGGAGTGATGGTGTGGCATGCATTGCTGAGACTACCGGGCTCCCTTTCTCTCCTCCCCTCTCCTCCGCCTCTCCCTCCCTCTCCCACCCATTCCCTTCCCCTTCATTCAACAGGTAGTCTACACGACAGTGATGAAGCTGTTTGCACGGGCGGGCAGGACGGATGGCCTGGCATGCATTGCTCTCAGACCAACAAGCTTTGTTCTCCTCCCTCCCTCTCGTTCCCTCCCCCCATTCATTCGTCACACCAGGTGATCTACACTACAGTGATGAAGCTCTTTGCACGGGCGGGCAGGACGGATGGCGTGGCACGGATCGCCGCCCTGCTCAGGGAGGAGGGCGGCAGGGAGGACGGCCTTTTTCGGCTGGATTCGAAAACGATATGCGCGTTGATCGCTGCATACAACAGCATGGGGGACCTGAATTCTGCGCAGGAGGTATGGTTTCTGAGAGGATTTCTAAGGCTTCTCCTCGTATATATGTATAATGTGCTGATATATTTCATGTATATACACATGTATATACATGTATATATGTACACATGTACATGTACATAAACATATACACATAAACATACACATACACATACACATAAACATACACATATATATGCATATGTACGTATGGATGTATATATGCAACACTTGTTCCGCATGACCAGGCATTCCCTTAGGGGAGTGGGACCGTGGGACGTAGTGGAGTGAAGTGGAGTGCCTTGGTGGCGCATATGGGCTGCAGCAACCGCTCTCCACCCCAAAGAACCCATCCTCCCTCTTCTTTCCTGCTGCACCCCCCTCCCTTTCTCCCTAGGAGATTGGATCCGCGCGAGCAGGTACGCCCCCAGGCGAGTGGGACGTGGTGGTGTGGAATGCCATGTCAGGGTAGCGTAGTCGAGTTTTGAGTCGACTCAAAACTCGGCAGGTACGCCCCCAGGCGAGTGGGACGTGGTAGTGTGGAATGCCATGTCAGGGTAGCGTAGTCGAGTTTTGAGTCGACTCAAAACTCGGCAGGTACGACCCCAGGCGAGTGGGACGTGGTAGTGTGGAATGCCATGTCAGGGTAGCGTACGGGCTGCATCACTCTCCACTGCACAAAACCCATCCGAAGTCCCTCTACTGCGCGCCCGTCCCTCTCTCCCTCCTTCCCTACGTGTTTGAGGCGGCGCGGGCGGGCACGCCCCCAGGGGAGTGGGATGTGGTGGTCTGGAACGCCATGGTGACCGCGTATGGGCTCTGCAGCAGCAGCAACCGCTCTCCACCACACAGAACCCACTCATTGCTTCCCTCTGTGTTCCGTCATTCACAGGTGTTTGAGGCGGCGCGAGCAGGCACGCCCCCAGGCGAGTGGGACGTGGTGGTGTGGAACGCCATGGTGGCCGCGTATGGGCTCTGCAGCAACCGTTCTCCACCGCACAAAACCCATCTGTGCCCTGTCTCTGCTACGTGCCTGGCCCTTCACCCCTCCCTAGGTGTTTGAGGCGGCACGCGCAGGCACGCCCCCAGGGGAGTGGGATGTGGTGGTGTGGAACGCCATGGTGGCCGCGTATGGGCTCTGCAGCAACCGTTCTCCACCGCACAAAACCCATCTGTGCCCTGTCTCTGCTACGTGCCTGGCCCTTCACCCCTCCCTAGGTGTTTGAGGCGGCACGCGCAGGCACGCCCCCAGGGGAGTGGGATGTGGTGGTGTGGAACGCCATGGTGGCCGCGTATGGGCTCTGCAGCAACCGTTCTCCACCGCACAAAACCCATCTGTGCCCTGTCTCTGCTACGTGCCTGGCCCTTCACCCCTCCCTAGGTGTTTGAGGCGGCACGCGCAGGCACGCCCCCAGGGGAGTGGGATGTGGTGGTGTGGAACGCCATGGTGGCTGCGTATGGGCTCTGCAGCAACCGTTCTCCACCGCACAAAACCCATCTGTGCCCTGTCTCTGCTACGTGCCTGGCCCTTCACCCCTCCCTAGGTGTTTGAGGCGGCACGCGCAGGCACGCCCCCAGGGGAGTGGGATGTGGTGGTGTGGAATGCCATGGTGGCCGCGTATGGGCGGGCGGGCAAGGTGAGGCAAGCAGAGGAGCTATTGCTGCAGATGGAAGCACAGGCGGACAGGGGTGACGGGCGGAGTGAGGGGGAAGAAGGGGCGGGTGGGGTTGATGCAGGGGAGTGGGGGAGTGTAGAGCCTGATTGGGGGAGTGTGGAGGCAGATGGGGGGGGAAGCGTTGAAGCGGATCGGGTGGGCCAGAGCATGGGAGAAACAGGGGGAGCTGAGTCAGTGGGTAGGGTGCGAAGGGGTGCTGCTGGGTCGATTATTTCTTCGACTCGAAACGTCAGCAGGGTGCAAGGGGACGTTGAGGCGTCTCAAGCGACTTGTGAGTCGACTCAAGAGCATGTGGGCAGGGCCGTGACAGAGGCAGAGGATTCGGCTTCAGAGGCGCCTCAAAAGGCGTCTGAGAAGTACATGGACTGGGTGACGGAGAGAGAGGATTTGCTGGTGGTGCAGATGGGTGCGGAGGGGTTTGAAGGAGAGGCGCTGCAAGGGCGAGCGCCTGGCGGTGGTGCTGACAGTGCTGATGGGGCTGGTGTTGCTGTAGGAGCTAAGTCAGCAGCAGCTGGTGTTGCTGCATCAGCAGCTGTGGCAGCAGAAAGGCCTGTAGCAGCAGAGACATCTGTAGCAGCAGAGACATCTGTAGCAGACACCTTTGAGGGCTCTTTCTGGTCCAACCCTGGGGTGCAGGGAACCCAGCCTCACCCATCTCCGCTCCTTCAACCTGCCCTTTCCTGCTCCGAACCAGCTTCGATGGGCTCCGAGCCTCGGCCAGAGGTTCGGAGCAAGGCTCGGGGTGAGCTTTGGAGTGAGGCTCGGGAGGGGCTAGTGGCAGCAACTGCAACTGTGACTGTATCCCCGGTTGCAAGGCTGGAAAGGCAAGGTATCAGCGAGAGTGACAGTGAGAGTCAATATTCCGGTGGTGAAAATGGCAGTGCTGGTGTGGGTAACTGGGATAGTGGCAGTGGTAGTGTGGTAGCTGCTGGTGGTGGCGTTGGTGTTGGTGGCGATGGGGGTTTCGTGGCTGCAGGTGTAGATAGTGGTGGAACGGGAAATTCCGGGGGTATACCGTCGGTTTCCCCTCCTCCCCCTCCCCCTCCCCCTCCGCCTCCTCTTGTTGCAACGGTTTTGAGAAAGCCTACGCCGCTACCTTCCACTGCTAGCAGCAGCAGCAGCAGCAGCAGCAGCAGCCCCAGCAGCAGCAGGAACGATGGCCGTAGCAGTAGCAGTAGCACAGGCGATGGCCGTATAAGCAGCAGCAGGAGCAGCAGCAATGACAGCGGCAGCAGCAGCACCAATCAGAGAAGTAGGGGCAGCTTAGGTGAACCCTCAGGTGGATTCTCAGGTGATTTAGAAGCAGAAGGAGCAGGAGGAAGCGGGGAGGATGGCAGGGAGGAGGAAGAGGAAGGGGAGGAGATTGATAGGGAGGTGGAAAGGAGGGAGATGCTACGGCGGGAGGGAGGGGGAAGGAGGGGAGGAAAGTCGACCAGGGGATATTCCGGCAGCACTGGTGCGAGGAGAGGAAGGGAAAGGGTTGGAAGAGGCGAAGGCGGAGGAACCAGAGGCGGATTGGAAGGAGGGAATCGGGAGCTGTCGCCCCCAAGGTTTGGGCCAACGTTGAATGCGTACAACTCTCTGCTCAATGCCTATGCCAAGGCGGGAGATGTTGACAAGGCAGAGAAGACGTTTAAGGTAGGCTTGAGACGAGGTCTTGAAGTGGATGGGGAGGCATTGAATGCGTACAACTCACTCCTGAACGCGTATGCCAAGGCGGGGGACGTGGACAAGGCAGAGAAGACCTTTAAGGTAGGCTCAAAACTTGGTTCACAGCAGGGCAGTCATGAGCTGTCTCCCCTCGGTTTGGGCCGACACTGAATGCATACAACTCGCTGCTGAACGCGTATGCCAAGGCGGGAGACGTGGACAAGGCAGAGAAGACGTTCAAGGTAGGCTTGAAAGACGAGGCAGAGAGAAAAGTCTTGTTTTGAGGCACCTCAATGAAAGACGAGGCAGAGAGAAAAGTCTTGTTTTGAGGCACCTCAATGAAAGACGAGGCAGAGAGAAAAGTCTTGTTTTGAGGCACCTCAAAGAAAGACGAGGCAGAGAGAAAAGTCTTGTTTTGAGGCACCTCAAAGAAAGACGAGGCAGAGAGAAAAGTCTTGTTTTGAGGCACCTCAATGAAAGACGAGGCAGAGAGAAAAGTCTTGTTTTGAGGCACCTCAAAGAAAGACGAGGCAGAGAGAAAAGTCTTGTTTTGAGGCACCTCAAAGAAAGACGAGGCAGAGAGAAAAGTCTTGTTTTGAGGCACCTCAATGAAAGACGAGGCAGAGAGAAAAGTCTTGTTTTGAGGCACCTCAAAGAAAGACGAGGCAGAGAGAAAAGTCTTGTTTTGAGGCACCTCAATGAAAGACGAGGCAGAGAGAAAAGTCTTGTTTTGAGGCACCTCAAAGAAAGACGAGGCAGAGAGAAAAGTCTTGTTTTGAGGCACCTCAATGAAAGACGAGGCAGAGAGAAAAGTCTTGTTTTGAGGCACCTCAATGAAAGACGAGGCAGAGAGAAAAGTCTTGTTTTGAGGCACCTCAAAGAAAGACGAGGCAGAGAGAAAAGTCTTGTTTTGAGGCACCTCAATGAAAGACGAGGCAGAGAGAAAAGTCTTGTTTTGAGGCACCTCAAAGAAAGACGAGGCAGAGAGAAAAGTCTTGTTTTGAGGCACCTCAATGAAAGACGAGGCAGAGAGAAAAGTCTTGTTTTGAGGCACCTCAATGAAAGACGAGGCAGAGAGAAAAGTCTTGTTTTGAGGCACCTCAATGAAAGACGAGGCAGAGAGAAAAGTCTTGTTTTGAGGCACCTCAAAGCAAGACGAGGCAGAGAGAAAAGTCTTGTTTTGAGGCACCTCAATGAAAGACGAGGCAGAGAGAAAAGTCTTGTTTTGAGGCACCTCAATGAAAGACGAGGCAGAGAGAAAAGTCTTGTTTTGAGGCTCCTCAATGAAAGACGAGGCAGAGAGAAAAGTCTTGTTTTGAGGCACCTCAAAGAAAGACGAGGCAGAGAGAAAAGTCTTGTTTTGAGGCACCTCAATGAAAGACGAGGCAGAGAGAAAAGTCTTGTTTTGAGGCACCTCAAAGAAAGACGAGGCAGAGAGAAAAGTCTTGTTTTGAGGCACCTCAAAGAAAGACGAGGCAGAGAGAAAAGTCTTGTTTTGAGGCACCTCAATGAAAGACGAGGCAGAGAGAAAAGTCTTGTTTTGAGGCACCTCAAAGAAAGACGAGGCAGAGAGAAAAGTCTTGTTTTGAGGCACCTCAATGAAAGACGAGGCAGAGAGAAAAGTCTTGTTTTGAGGCACCTCAAAGAAAGACGAGGCAGAGAGAAAAGTCTTGTTTTGAGGCACCTCAATGAAAGACGAGGCAGAGAGAAAAGTCTTGTTTTGAGGCACCTCAATGAAATACGAGGCAGAGAGAAAAGTCTTGTTTTGAGGCACCTCAAAGAAAGACGAGGCAGAGAGAAAAGTCTTGTTTTGAGGCACCTCAATGAAAGACGAGGCAGAGAGAAAAGTCTTGTTTTGAGGCACCTCAAAGAAAGACGAGGCAGAGAGAAAAGTCTTGTTTTGAGGCACCTCAATGAAAGACGAGGCAGAGAGAAAAGTCTTGTTTTGAGGCTCCTCAATGAAAGACGAGGCAGAGAGAAAAGTCTTGTTTTGAGGCACCTCAAAGAAAGACGAGGCAGAGAGAAAAGTCTTGTTTTGAGGCACCTCAATGAAAGACGAGGCAGAGAGAAAAGTCTTGTTTTGAGGCACCTCAAAGAAAGACGAGGCAGAGAGAAAAGTCTTGTTTTGAGGCACCTCAATGAAAGACGAGGCAGAGAGAAAAGTCTTGTTTTGAGGCACCTCAATGAAAGACGAGGCAGAGAGAAAAGTCTTGTTTTGAGGCACCTCAATGAAAGACGAGGCAGAGAGAAAAGTCTTGTTTTGAGGCACCTCAATGAAAGACGAGGCAGAGAGAAAAGGGGAACGTTTAGTTGAAGAGATGACTTTTGAGTCGACTCAAAAGTCAAGACGTGGACAAGGGAGAGAAGACTTTCAAGGTAGGCTTGAAAGACGAGGCAGGGAGAAAAGGGGGATGTTTAGTTGAATGCTCACAACTCGCCGCACTCCGTCTGTGTCTGCTTTTGAGGCGCCTCAGAAAAGGGGAACGTTTAGTCGAATGCCATAACTTGCCGCACTCAGTCTGTGTCTGCGCCCTCCCCTCGACCCCCCTCTTCTCCCCCCTTCCCCACCCCACCCCTTCCCTCCGCAAACCTCAACAGCGCCTCATGGCTCGCGGATTCTACCCGTCAACTGTCACATTCAACACGCTCTTCTCTCTCTACGCCTCGCTGCCCTCCTCCTCCTCCTCGCTCGCTGCTGCCCGCCGCCTGCACGCCCTCATGCTGCAAATGGGCGTCCCTCTGGACGTGCCTCTCCACGTGTACTTGTGCTGTTCTTTGAGTGGCCTGCTCAGCCGGTTGTCACTGCTAACACCCCCTTGTCTTGCTCTTCTTCCCCCACCCTCTTTGTGTCTGCTTCCCCCACCCACCCGCCCTCCCCAGCGCCTCATGGCACGGGGGTTCTACCCGTCAACAGTCACATTCAACACGCTGTTCTCTCTCTACGCATCACTGCCCTCCTCCTCCTCCTCGCTCGCTGCTGCCCGCCGCCTGCACGCCCTCATGCTCCAAATGGACGTGCCTCTGGACGTCTACTCGTGCTGCTCTCTCATTGGCCTGCTCAGCCGCTCCGGGCATGTTGAAGAAGCGGTCGGGCTGTTTGAAAGAATGAAGGCGCAGGGCGTGCAGGTGTGTGTGTGGGTGGAGGTGTGTGCATGAGTGGGGGCGTTCAGGTGCATGCTTGTGCGAGGGTGGGTATGGGTAGGTGTTGGTGGGTGTGGGTAGGTGTGGGTGGGTGGGGTCGAAGAAGCGGTCGGGCTGTTTGAAAGAATGGAGGCTCAGGGCGTTCAGGTGTGTGGGTGGGTGGGGGCATGGCGTGCAGGTGCATGCTTGTGCGAGGGTGGGTGTGGTGTGGGTAGGTGTGGGTGGGTGGGTGGGGTTGAAGAAGCGGATGGGCTGTTTGAAAGGATAAAGGCACAGGGTGTGCAGGTGTGTGTTTGTGCGAGGGAGAGTGGGTATGTGTGGTTGTTGTGGGTGTGTGTTTGCCTGCATTTGCGTGCACATTCGTATGTTTGAAAGAATGAAGGCGCAGGGAGTTCAGGTGTGTGGTGTGGGTGTGTGTGCATGGGTGGGGACGTTCAGGTGCATGCTTGTGCGAGGGCGGGTGGGTGGGCGTGGCGTGGGTTTGGGTGTAAGTGGGTTTGGGTGTAAGTGGTTGGCGATTTTTTGTTCAAAATTCCCTTTTAAAAAGTGATTTTCTAGGCACCTCAGACATTGTTTGTGTCCCTTCCTTCCCTGTTCGCTCCCTCCCTCCCACCACAATCTGAAGTTCCAGACCTCTCTCAGCAAAAAATCCATACTTTTCCCCATCCCCCTCCCCCCTCGCTCTTTCGATGCACTTCCTCCTCCCCCTCCCCCCCACCAGCCGGACTCTCACGTCTTCAGTGCCATGATCGCCATGTTCGCCCGGCACGGCGAGCTCGAGGCGCAACCAACCAAAGTTCCCCCCTCTTCTCTCCCTTCCCCCAATCACCCCCGCCACGCCCCTCCCCTCCTCCACCTCCTCTCCCCCCCCCAACCAGCCGGACTCTCACGTGTTCAGTGCAATGATCGCCATGTTCGCCCACCGCCACGGCAAGGTGGACTTTCAAACGCACAACCAACCAAAGTCTCACCCTGATCAATCCCTTACCCCAATTACCTCCACCCTTCCTGCCCCCCACCCCCTCCAGCCGAACTCGCACGTGTTCAGTGCCATGATCGCCATGTTGGCCCGCCGCCACGGCAAGCTGGAAACATGTAGCTCAATCTTTTGTCTTCTTTCTCCCACCCACCCTTCAACCCCACCACCATCACCCCCCCCACCCCCACCAGCCGGACTCGCACGTCTTCAGTGCAATGATCGCCATGTTTGCTCGCCACGGCAAGCTGGAGTACCAAGGTGCAACCAACCAGAGCCTACCTGTTCAATCCCTTTCCCCCACCAACCCTCCCCCCCCACCAGCCGGACTCGCACGTGTTCAGCGCAATGATCGCCATGTTCGCGCGGCACGGCAAGCTGGAAGCCGCGCTGAGAACCTTCCAGGAGATGAAGGCGGCAGGGTGTGCAGTGGACATGCCCGTGCTGACGTCCATGATCGGCGTGTACCACCGCTTGGGTCTGCTGGAGGAGGCTTCTACAGCTGCAATGGACGCCATTGTGAGTGGAAGTTTGAGGTCCCTTCATGATGCATGTCCCAGGGCTCACTGCATGTATGTACCACCACCGCCGCCTTCCCTGCCCTGGTGTTACATGCCCATGGCATGGACGCAATTGGGAGTGGAGTGGAGGTTTGAGGTTTGAGGTGCCTTGATTACGCATGTGCTTGTGCATGCCCATAATGCATGTGCATGTGTCGGCGCTGACTGTGTGACGTCCCATGATGGGCATGTACCATCACCAGCTTCGTTGCCCTCCCTTCCCCTCCCACCCCAGACTCAGGGCAGCGGGCATCTGGACTGGATTCTGTGATTGCCAGCACCATCATCTCCCTCTTCTCATTCGCCAGTCTCCCTTTCATTCCCAACTTCCCAATTGTCCTCTCTATGTGCCTCTCAGACTCAGACTTCTCCCCCCCTCAGACTCAGGGCAGCGGGTACCAGGACCCTTCTCTCACTTCTCCGCTACCCAACCACACACCCTCCTGCCCCCCACACCTTTTTCTTCTCCCCTTTCCTGTTCAGACTCAGGGCAGCGGGCATCTAGACCCTGTGATTGCCAGCGCCATCATCTCCCTTTTCCCATCTGCCTTGCTCCCTTCTACTCTCCGCTTCCTATCCCCTTCTCTTTCTCTCCTCCCCCCTCAGACTCAGGGCAGCGGGCATCTAGACCCTGTGATTGCCAGCGCCATCATCTCCCTCTTTTCCAAACAAGGCCGGCTCGGGGACGCGGTGAGAATATTTCGGGCTGCCCGGGGCATGGGCAGCCGGCAGATCCAGCCGGGCAGCATTGGCGAAAATAGTGTGAGCACCTGGAGTAGGAACAACAGCGTCTGGAGTAGAAGCAGCAGCGGCGGTAGTAGCAGTGGCAGTAGCAGTGACAGCGAGAGCAGCAGCAGTGGTACTGGCGAGAAATCAAATCGATCAGTAGCAGATGTAGAGTCAGAAGAGGCAGCAGGAGCAAAAACCAGAGCAGTAGCAGCAGAAGTAGCAGGAGCAGCACGGGCAGCAGCGGCGGCAGCAGCAGGAGAAGGGACAGTAGCAGCACCATTAGCAGCAGCAGGATCAGCATCAGCAGCAGGAGCAGCAGTGGGAGCAGAGGCAGCAGCAGCAACAGAGGCAGCAGCAGGGGCAGCAGCGGCAGCAGGGACAGCAGCGGTAGCGGCAGCGGCAGGAGGGGGCAGTTCTCGCAAGAGGGGACACAGGGGGAGGGGGAGGGGGAGGAGGCGAGGGGGGCGAGTGGATGCAGTGCTGCTGAGCACGATGATGGACGCTTACAGCAAGGCGGGGCAACTGGACGCTGCTGAAGCTCTTTTTGCTGAGATCCTGGTGGGTACAGTGCGGTCTGGATGGATATGGTATGGTGTGGGTGGGTACGGTGAAGTTTCTTGTCTCCAAGTGGATGCAGTGCTGCTGAGCACGATGATGGACGCCTACAGCAAGGCAGGCCAGCTAGACGCTGCTGAAGCTCTCTTTGCTGAGATCCTGGTGAGTGGGTGGAAATTGTTGGGAGTGTGGGTGGAAATTGTTGGGAGTGTGGGTGGAATTTGTTGGGTGAGTGGGTGAAAATTGTTGGGTGAGTGGGTGAAAATTGTTGAGTGAGTATGGTATGGTGGAGGTGGGTATGTTGTTGTGTGAGTGTGTGCATGCGCGCGCATGTCTGTGTGTGCCGTCCTGTGTGTGGATGAGCGGGTGGGGGGTTGGCCAAGCACTTAATACATTCTGCAAGGCGTGTTTCGGCGGCGTGTATGTAAATCACAGGGGGTTGTTGTAACCCAAAACCCTCCTTTCCCCTCCTCTCTCCTCCATTTCTCCCTTCATCCTTTCCCACCCACCCTTCTATCACCCCCCGTTTCAGGCAGATGGGTCAGGCAGAATAGCGGACCTGGCAGCACACACCACCATGATCAGTGTATATGGGAAGCACACTCAGTTACAATGTGCAACCCACCTCTATTCCTCCTCCACCCTCTTTCCCTGTTCCCCTTCCGGCCTGTCCCACCCACCCCTGTCTAACACATACACACGCCCCTTCAGGCGGATGAGTCTTGCAGTATAGCCGACCTGGCAGCTCACACTACCATGATCAGCGTGTATGGGAATACCCCTCTTCCCTCCCGGCCTTCTCTGACCCAACCGCTCCTCCAATTTTCCCCTGCTTCAGGCGGATGGGTCAGGCAGTATAGCGGACCTGGCAGCTCACACCACGATGATCAGACAGAATAAGGCAGGGAGCACAAAACCTCTTAACTCTTTTCTCCCCTCCCCTACCTCCCGCCCTCCCCAACCCCCACACACATGCCCCTCCCTTCACGTGGAGTAGTGGGGCAGCATAGCCGGCCTGGCAGCACACACCACGATGATCAGTGTGTAACGCAGCTCTCCCCCTTCTCCCACCCACCACTTGTTTCCCCCCATCACGCATGCACGCCCTTTCAGGCGGATGAGTCGGGCAGCATAGCCGGCCTGGCAGCACACACCACGATGATCAGTGTGTAACGCAGCTCTCCCCCTTCTCCCACCCACCACTTGTTTCCCCCCACCACTTGTTTCCCCCCATCACGCATGCACGCCCTTTCAGGCGGATGAGTCGGGCAGTATAGCGGACCTGGCAGCACACACCACAATGATCAGCGTGTATGGAAAGCATGGTCTGGTGGATAAGGCGAAGGTGAGGTGGCGATGGGAGAGAAGAGGGGGATGCGTGGGAAGAAGGGAGGTCTGTTTGCTGGCAGTGAAAAATAAAGAGTGCAGTAACATCGCAGCACACACCACGATGATCAGCGCGTATGGGAAGCATGGGCTGGTGGAGAAGGCGAAGGTATGTGAGGGAGGGTGATGGGGGAGACGAGGGAGGGAGATGTGTGTTGGTTTGCAGTGCACGTGAAGAGGGGACTAGCATCAGAGCACACACCACGATGATCAGCGTGTATGGGAAGCATGGTCTGGTGGAGAAGGCAAAGGTGAGAAAAAGTAGGGGAAGAGGAAGGGTGCGGAAGGTGATGGTGTTGATTGTGTAGAGAGGGTTAAGTACACACACCACGATGATCAGCGTTTACGGAAAGCATGGTCTGGTGGATAAGGCAAAGGTGCGTGAGGGAGGGTGATGGGGAAGACGAGGGGATTATGTGATTGTGAAAAGGGGGATATCACACACCACCATGATCAACGTGTATGGGAAGCATGGGCTCGTGGATAAAGCAGTGAGGGGGAAGGGAAGGCGGGAAAGGAAGCGAAATGTGAAATGTGAGAAGAAGGGAGATGCGTGTGTTCGCATCGCAGTGCATGTGAAGGGAGGACTAGCATCAGAGCTCACACCACGATGATCAGCGTGTATGGGAAGCATGGGCTGGTGGAGAAGGCGAAGGTACGTGAGGAAGAAGAGAGATACGAGATCTGTGCTCATGAAGAAGGGCAGCAGTAGGCAAGGTCGCCTTTAGCAAAGGGACGATAGTCAACTAGTGAAAAAAGTAACCCTCGAAAAAATTGATTAAGATCCGAACGTACAACTCAGTTCAAACTCTAGACGAAAGCAAATATGTTTCGGCACGTGAAGCAGGGAGATCTGTCGAAAGGGGGAAAAGGGGGTAGATGGGGAAGAAAGAAAAGAGGGATGAACGAACGGCCATATTCTCCTGTTGTTCTTCCCACGGAGGTAGCACTACTGAGCCTGAATAGTGGACTAGAGCAGGGGCAGGAAAAAAACTCAAAACCAAATCGAAAATGCGCCCAGGTTAGCTAAGGGTTTCCTTTGCCGGTAGTGATTCGGCCGCACACACATGACCCTGTGCTGTCGCCCTCCATCCTCCCTTTCCCTGTTGCATCCCTGCAGCTGCTTTTCACAAGCCTGAGAGGGTCGGGCAGGGACTTGGACGCAGTGATATGGAACGACATGCTGAGTGCGCTGGGGAAGAACGGGCGGGTGGAGAGGAGAATAGCCAGCCACAAACACACGATTTCATCCATCCATTCTCTCTCCTCATTCCCCCACCCACTCACTGTTGCATCCCTGCAGCTGCTGTTTACCAGCTTAAGAGGGTCGGGCAGGGACTTGGACGCAGTGATATGGAACGCCATGCTGAGTGCGCTGGGGAAGAACGGGTGGGTGGAGAGGAGAGTAGGCAGCCACGAACACAATATTTCATCCTTCGATTCGCTCTCCTCATTCCCTCACCCACTCACTGTTGCATCCCTGCAGCTGCTGTTTACAAGCCTGAGAGGGTCCGGCAGGGATTTGGATGCAGTGATATGGAACGCCATGCTGAGTGCGTTGAGGAAGAACGGGCGGGTGGGGAAGAGACAGAGGCATCAACTCATGCACTCTCCCTCCACTCCTCACATCCTCGTCCCCTTCTGTGCAGCTGCTGTTTACAAGCCTGAGAGGGTCGGGCAGGGACTTGGATGCAGTGATATGGAACCCGATGCTGAGCGCACTGAGGAATAACGGGCAGGTGGGCGGGGAAGAGACAGATGCATCAACTCATGCACTCTCCCTCCGTTCCTCACATCCTTGTCCCCTTCTGTGCAGTTGCTTTTCACAAGCCTGAGAGGGTCGGGCAGGGACTTGGACGCAGTGATATGGAACGCCATGCTGAGTGCCCTGGGGAAGAACGGGCGGGTGGAGGAGGCGAAGGAGCTGTTTGCAGACATGCAGGAGAATGGGCCGGCACCCACTGTCTACTCTTACTCCATCATGATTGACGCGTGAGTTGATGCGGGGGTGGGTGTGGAGGGATTTTGTGTCACATCACATGGCAGTGTGTAAGTGACTGTGTGGGAGCGGGGTAAACCCGATGCTGAGTGCCCTGGGGAAGAACGGGCGGGTGGAGGAGGCGAAGGAGCTGTTTGCAGACATGCAGGAAAGCGGACTGGATGTGTCCACTACCCTTGCCCGCATGCTCTCTTCGGGTCTGCGCCCCTCTCTCGTCACGTTCAACTCCATGCTCGCTGGCATGGTCAACGATGCTGCTGCTCTGTTTCGCAGGATGAGGGCAGAGGGGGTGCCTTGCCGCCCAGCCGCGGGAAAGCTGAAGAGCTGTGTGTCTTGCCTCCTACCTCTGCCTCCCATCTCCCCTCACCATGCAGTTACGGCAAAGCCGATCGCATTCTCGATGCCTCCACCACATTTGCCCGCATGCTCTCCTGTGGCCTCCGCCCATCTCTAGTGACGTTCAACTCCATGCTCGCTGCCTACCGCCGCGCCGGCATGGTCAACGACGCTGCTCTCTTCCGCAGGATGAGAGCAAAGGGGGTGCCTCCCAGCCGCGGGAAAGCCGATGAGCTGTGTGTCTTGCCTCCTACCTCTGCCTCCCGTCCCCCGTCTCCCCTCCCCATTCAGTTATGGGAAGGCGGATCGAAGATTGGACGTGTCAACCACCTTCGCCCGCATGCTGTCATCTGGCCTCCGCCCATCCCTGGTCACGTTCAACTCCATGCTCGCTGCCTACCGCCGTGCCGGCATGGTCAACGACGCTGCTTCTCTGTTCCGGAGAATGAGAGCAGAGGGGGTGCCTTGCCGCCCAGCCGCGGGAAAGCTGAAGAGCTGTGTGTCTTGCCTCCTACCTCTGCCTCCCGTCCCCTGTCTCCCCTCCCCATTCAGTTATGGGAAGGCGGATCGAATATTGGACGCGTCAACCACCTTTGCGAAAATGCTCTCTTCTGGCCTCCGCCCGTCTCTAGTGACATTCAACTCCATGCTCGCTGCCTACCGCCGTGCCGGCATGGTCAACGACGCCGCTGCTCTCTTCCGGAGAATGAGGGCAGAGGGGGTGCCTCCCAGCCATGTGTCGTACGCGATTCTCATTCATACGCACGCACAGGCGGGCGATTTGAGAGAGGCGACTCGTCTTTTCAGGTGGGTTATAATCCTTCCGTTTGGCTGTTCTGGGGATGGGAGGAAAGGACAGTGGGAGCAGGGGCGGGTGCCTCCCAGCCAGGTGTCGTATGCGATCCTCATCCACACACACGCACAGGCGGGCGATTTGAGGGAAGCCACTCGGCTGTTCAGGTGGGTTATAGTCCTTCGTACGGCTGTTCTGGGGATAGGAGGAGAATAGAAGGGGGGCAGAGGGGGTGCCGCCCAGCCATGTGTCGTATGCGATTCTCATCCACACACACGCACAGGCGGGCGATTTGAGAGAAGCCACTCGGCTGTTCAGGTGGGCTTTGGTTGTTTGTTTCTTTGGTCTATGGGAGAGAAACAGAAGCCTGGAGCGTGGCATGAGGGATGGGGCACGGGGCACGGGGCACGGGGCACAAGGCACAGGACAGTGGGTGTGCCGTGGATAACCCAACCCTCCACCGAATCACCTCCTTGCTTAGAAGTGCCAGTTGGAGTGGCTTCTGCCTAGTCAAGCTTAAAACTCGCCACCTTTTCCATCCTCCACTCACTCACTCGCTCACTCACGCGCCCTCCACTCACTCCGTCCCCTCCCCTCCCCACGTCCCGTTTTACCACAACCTGTGATACTGCAGAGAGCTGCAGGACAGTGGGTGTGCCGTGGATAACCCGACTCTCCACCGAATCACCTCCATGCTCAGAAGTGCTGGCAGGAGCCACTCCAGCATGCTCTAGGGAATGGAAAAGGCCTGAGTTGAGTTGCTGGTTTGAAATGCTCTGGGTGGGCTCGAGGCAATTGTCGAAACCCACCCAACCCAACACACCTCTTCACGGAATCACCTCCATTCTCAGAAGGGCTGGCAGGAGCCACTCCAGCATGCTCTAGGGATTGATGATACGGTTTTCTTTGTCTTCCTCTACTTGTTTGAGAATAGAGATGACCTTGTATGGTAGGTATGGTCTCAAGCCAAGCCAATACTCACGTACAGTGCAGTGCAGACCATCGTCCGAATTCTTCGCCAAATCACCCAGATGCACATTAAGGCAGAAAGCACTTGACTCCACTCCTATCCAGGATGCTGTACGGATGTGATGTGAACTTTTTGAAGTTTTTTGAGGCGCCTAAAAAATCAGGCGCCTCAAAAATCAGTGCAGAGCATCATTCGACTCTTCACCAGATCACCCAGATGAACACACAGGCAGGTTAAATCAAACCTCTTGACTCCACCACTATCCAGCATGCTGCAGGGATGTGACGTGAGGTACAGTTCTGCGGTCTGAAATGGAAGATGGCCATGTGTAAGCTCCAGATATAAGATAGAAGCGGCCCTCCAGGCTCATATGTCCCTTGCTGCTGTTGATGACAACCCACTTAGAAGCACCTGCCCGGAATGTGACTTGGTGGGTAAGACCGACAGCATCTACACACTACAGTCTACAAACCGTTCTTATTATCTCAAGCATGAAAAATCATGAAACCATGTCTCTCAATCAATAACTCATTGAAGGCTAGGCCACAAAAGTACCTATCCAAAGCTTGCTATCAGCGTCATTTTCCTTTTGGCGCAGTCATCCCCAACAGTGCTAAAGAAATAATAGTCCGAGGACAGAACCAGATGTATGAGTTTTGTAGCCTTGCCCGTGGGCTTCACGAACCACTGTTTCACGGACTTGGTATTGCATGCCTTCATCGATGTGAAGTCAGTGGCCGCAGCCAAGCTGTGCTTGCGGTCATACTGTTTGCCGAACCAACCACTGCCCCATTTGAAAACTGCAGCCGGGTGGAGGCAGAGTTTGAGAGTTAGGAATCTGCCTTTATCGCGTACAATCGGGAAGGTGCTGCTTTGTACCTAGTAGCTTTCAAATAGCATGACAAACGGTGGCAAATGTTTGCGAGTAGGGACGTCGGGAAATGAGCAGGATTACAAAGCTAGTAGTAACGCAAGCGTAACACTCTGAAAAGCGTACCTAGCGTGTCGCCCACGTTATAAGATATCGGGGGCGCAAGCAGCCCTTGCTGCCGCCAATCATGATCATCTTCGCATGCTGCTGTCAGAGGTCCACTGGTGATCCCCGATTGATCCTAGGAAAGGGTTACAGGCACGTTGGCCTGGGGGGTTATGGGCGCACTCACCCGCTACACAAACAAGCCCTTTTATCCCAGTGGTTAGTGGCTGGGATTCTGACATGGTATCAAAGCGAAGGTCTCGGGTTCGATTCCCGGTGTGTGCACCTCGGGCATCCCAGTGCGGGGGGGTGTCAGAGGTCCACTGGTGATCCCCGATTGATCCTAGGAAAGGGTTACAGGCACGTTGGCCTGTGGGGTTATGGGCGCACTCACCCGCTACACAAACAAGCCCTTTTATCCCAGTGGTTAGTGGCTGGGATTCTGACAGCTGCATGCATATTAGGACGTTCAGGCAGGGCAACATACATCATCCCAAAGGGATGGTATCCAGATTTCAATAAGTGCCCACTTTGGAGCCCGGAAAAGGATATTGTCTAAGGAAAGGCTTTGTTCATACATCATTAGAAGCTGAATCATAACAACCTTACATGCGGCAGAGTAGAAATCACTTGTGAGAATTCTCAAAAGTGACTCTACATGATCACGTAGTAGCTGTGACGAGGCACTCTTGCGTCCATTGCAGAAAGGGAAGTGCAGAAAAGTTGCGTGAAAACGAAAGAACCGATGCATTTGATGCGGAAACAACGAAGCTTTTAGGGGCATTGCCAGAGTGACAGTGTGTGTTTATGAAAAGTGAGTTTTAGGCAATCTTTCTGAGGCTCAACTTTCCCATAGCCTCGCCGGCCGGCCCGACTTCGCGTGTACCCTACTACAGCGAGATTTTTCCGACACATTTCCGAAGGAAAAGCTGGAGCTTTGCATTCTTTTAATTGCCAATTTCCCTTTTTGCTGAGTCAACGCACTCACCGCAACTGCAGGGCCGGTTTTGCCCGGAAGATCCAGCGCGAAGCCTGCACACCACGACAGCAAACACAAACACCAGAACATCGAACAAACATTATACAATTGCAAACCTTTAAGACAATAAAAAGAAGCACAGACGGGCAGATCATTGATCTGACTCAGGACACATCAGCAGTCCTACTAGGACTACATTTTGGCGATTCCCGCCGATCGCCGAAATGTCGTGCTGATCGAATCTGAACGGGGTCTAGTCGGTGTCGAAGACGCGAAAACAATCAATCAAACGGATTATGATGGAGGATTCCTCCATCGTGTCGTGTCGTAACAGCAAGCAGCACGATCGTGCTGAAAATTGACCCGAGGCCTCGAGGCATGGCTGAGGCCTGGCTGCGTACTACCTGCGAGAAGCAGCACCAGCGGAAGCAGCATCCTCATGATTCCTAGCTGGTGGTAGTAGCTGTCAGGTCGTCGTAATGGTAAAATGTTTACAGAAAGAGAGTGAATGTGGTCACCAATATACGGCATACGGAGAGCGCTTCGAAATTCCTTATTGGGAAGGGAAAGCTCTGTGTGCTGATGACATGGTTTTCACCGATTGTCACCGCCACACACTGACATAGATTGTTCAGAAGACACCCTTCAACTTGAAGTTTTTTTTTTCGGTTTAATCAGACACCCATTTTATGAAAGACGTTGCCTTGCCACCTTACCACATGTAGCGTACATGTGGAAATTCTGTTCCTACGCATGAGTCCAGACAGTGATTCAGTCAGTCACGAAATCTACCGTACCCTAAAATCCGGTAAAGTCCACCCTGACGAAACACACATACAAGGGAATTTAAACCCGCATATCTACTGTTACGATATGAAGTTTTATGAGTGAGGCATTCCTGTATGCTGCAGGAGCCGACTCTACCGAGTACGAAGTCGAGGAGTCAGAAGAGTCGAAGCGACGCAGCAACCGTCTGACCAAGACCGATGCAGGCAGAAACATTTGAAGTGAAAAGAGCGGGAACAGGTTCAAAACGGGTTCCCGCGCCGCACGGTTTGAATTCGCTGTAATAAGGGAATGTACCCCTTAGAGTACATGGCTAGTCTAGGTCTTTTCGTATTCCCCTGTATTCTTATATAAACTCGATGTATGCATGCTATTATCAACTCAGTCATTTACATTCACTCTGACCTGAGATTCAAACCTTCCGCTGCAACACTACTCTGCGATCAACCCTGAGCGATCCTTCGCTAAGTCCCATTTGGGATTGTAACATCTACAAAGCGAGGCGCATCTACCCATGGCGCCCCTTCCCATGTAAAGCACTATGATCAGATATCAAACCACTGGTCTCGTTCTGTCAAACATATATCTATATGTTAGAGTTATTGCTATGCTGTAGTGGGGTAGATAGTGTGGGGTATAACCCCTTAGGGTTTTCCTCTTGTACCAATTTCTCTCGATACTCAACTCATCCTTGCCTAAAGTCTTGACATGGCATTAGAGCACTAAGGTCTCTAGGACCTAAGAATAGGGCCCACCTTTAACTAAGTTACCTCACCTACAGCCTCATTGCCTGCCTGCCTGCCCTACCTGCTGACCGCGCGCGCCTCGGCTGCTTGCGCGCGTCACTTTTTTTTGTCCGCGCGCGCCTCTTAAGCAGCCCACGTGCAGCCCGTATAGGCTCGTTTAGGCCCATTTTCGGCCCCGCGCGCCACGTCAGCCGCCCGCGCAGCCTGCCGCCGGCCCGCGCGTCGCGTGAGCTGCCCGCACGCAGCCCGCTTAGGCCCTGCGCGCCGCGTCCGCCGCCCGCGTAGCCCGTTTTACGGCCCCATTTTAGCCTGCCGCCGGCCCCGCGCGTCGCCTCCTCCAGTGACGGCGCGCTGCCCCCCGTCGCCCGTCACGGCCCCTGTGGGACCCGCGCGCTGCCCTGCACCAGCTACGCCGCCCCTGGAGCAGCCGCCCCTGGCCCCAGAGCAGCCGCCCCTGGCCCCTGAAGCAGCCGCCCCTGGAACAGCCGCCCCTGGACCCCGAGCAGCCGCCCCTGGCCCCTGAAGCAGCCGCCCCTGGTGCAGCCGCCCCTGGACCCAGAGCAGTCGCCCCTGGCCCCTGAAGCAGCCGCCCCTGGTGCAGCCGCCCCTGGACCCAGAGCAACCGCCCACGGCCCCTGCAGCAGCCGCCCCTGGAGCAGCCGCCCCTGGACCCAGAGCAGCCGCCCCTGGCCCCTGAAGCAGCCGCCCCTGGCCCCTGAAGCAGCCGCCCCTGGTGCTGCCGCCCCTGGAACCAGAGCA